AACACTAACAAGTTCCAGAAAGGGTCAGAAGCCACTTAACACATTCCACAGCAGCATCCTGTAAAGAAAGGGCCTCAGCCACCACCAAGGAAATCTGTGAACCTGACATCTGTCATCCGTCTAAAGTTTTATAAGCATAACTAACCTCACATTTATATCTCTGGGGAAGCAGCCATTGGCAAGAAGGCCAAGCAGATATATAAATACTGTCAATTTTAAATAAGGAAGAGAACTTTTTTCTTTCCTTCTCGCTTCTTTCCTAATATTTTTCTCTTACTATTTGTGATGCCCCAAATTAAAGAGTAAGGTAAGGACCCAGAGAAAATTGTTATCTGATGATTCTTTTGTTCTGGGATTGACCTATCTCCGAAGCCTCCCACACAAGAGAACTGCAAAGTCACATGGAGAAGTCTGAGCTGCCATCAGTATTTACAGGAAGAATGGCACAAGACAAATGTCTGATGAGAGAAGGCATCTGTTCCAGAAAGAAAATAATCAAATAGCAAACTTTTCATATTCCCATGTTTTAGTATGTTTTTAGCAGCCAGTGGTCTCTCAAACTCCTAGAGGTAAAAGTTAACGGTTTCTTCTATTTATTTGAAAGCTAGTGTAACAAATTAAGTACAGTTACAAAGTCAGTCAGCATTGGTTTTAGCTGCAAAGATTTTGTATTATAGCCAATTGAAATCCAAGTCAGAAATGAAGTGCAAGTAAACAGGCAAGAGAGTAATCTAAATAAGATTTTAAAGTCTAAAAAGTTTAAAAGCTACCAGGACTAAAAAAAAAAAATTGGGTTAAAAAAAATTGGGTACTTAAAAGTTAGACACCTATCTAAAAATGACTTAATTATCACTCACAAATCTGTCTTTAATGGGAGATGTGGGTTCTCAGCACCTGTAAAACTCAGGCCTCTTTTATTTAGGTGCCTAAATATGGAGTTAGATGTCTAGATTTTAGGCATTCTTTTTTGAAAATTTTCATCTTAAAGTCTCAGCCTTATGGTTTATCAGCCTTCCTAGTCACTGCTTCCTTGGACAAAGAGAAAATATCAATTCTTGCATTCCATGCCAGTTTGCCCCTCGCAAGGACCTTAAAATGGAACCTCCTATCCCCAGTGTATCTAAATAGATTCGCTGAGCAGTTTGGGAGAGATGGAAGATCTGTAATACATTCATGACAATTTCTGTTTTCTCTCTTCTTTTTTCTTGATGAACTCTATTATAGTAAGACTGGATGTTTTATCTGTCCTTCATAGAATTAATCTCAAAGATTCTTCCTTAAATCACTGTTTAGTTTCTGCTTTAGGTTTAGTTAAATTTTTATTTCTGTCTATCGCCAAGAATAAAGAAGAATTTTTTCTGCTGTTTCCTCCCATTGACACCATCATCTGCTCCTGTGCTCTCTGACCTCCCCTTCACTGTACACTTTGGGCAAGCTACCCACCCTCCTATCAGGTTCATATTTTACCATGTACTTTTAGTCATTAACTCCATGATACACATTGATCTGAAAGCATTTTCCAGACAGGAAATAAGAGCAGCATATGTTACTTTTTAATCATGTAAAGATTTTAATTTATGTGTATTATGGCTATCCATGCCTTCTAAGGAAGGGTGACAGGAAGTTTTGCTAGGAACTGATTGTACTTTGAAGCTGGTCTCTTTTCCTACATGCCCTGAGTTACAGTATGTTATCCTACACCATCTTTCAACCTCAAGCAAGTGTTCAGCAAACACACAAATCAAATATGTTGTTGGCATTATTATAGGGAGAATTACCCAATGCTACCCCTTGGCACAGCAAACCTAGATACAATTACTGCAACTAGAAAATATCCGCAAGCTATTTGGACAGTGTAGATGACACAAATTGAAAAGAGTTGTAAGTGGTCCAAATGATTTCCAAATACTAGTCTGAATGTTTTTCTTTAAGATTTTGTCATATGGTTCAATCAGAATATACATTTACTGAATTCTGTTTGGGAATTTTTGTCCGGGTGTGTGATTCAGAAATACCCAAGTCCCCGTGATGTGCAGCTGAGACTGGATTTATAGACAAACTCAACTTTATTTCCTTGGAAAAAATCACAAAACTCTTTTTAGAAAGGATGAGGAAATAATGTTAACCTCTTCACTCCACAGTCCATATCAGCTTCAGTGGCCCACAATGAAATGCAAATGTGCTGGACATGCTAGCTATGGAGGATTTCTTTTTCTTCTCATAAACACAAGATTTCATACCAAACTGTTTGTTCTGTAGGCACCTCATTAAAGATGTTCAGGCATCTCAGGATAGCACTAGACAGAGGTTTGCATGGTAGAGCTTTTTGCCTTATTGTTGAAGTGGCTAGATCTAGAAGTGCACTAAAGAGGAGATTTGTCCCAGTTTATAGGATTTGTTCCAATCCATCTTCCACATTAATTGTGTAACCTCCAAAGAAAAAAAGCTGTGACTATTTAATTCTATTGAACAATCACTTTCCAAACAAAGCTTAATGGTTTTCTAGCAGAATTAGGAGGAAGGCAGTTACAGACACACCCTCAACTGAAAGGGAAGGGACAGAAGAAAGAAGTGTCACTTCACAGAAGCCCAGTCTCTGTAAACAGCTAAAGGCTGTCCCCTGAAAATCCCAGTGGGCCAGCCACTTACAGTGAAGCTATGTGTGCTCAAATTGTGGGTAAGCAAAACAACTACATTCAAAATAAAATTTAAAATTTTTGGAAAATTTGGTTATCTATTTTTGATCACATAAATTTTTTAAAAAATTGTTCTGCCAGATGATTCCATAAAATGTGATTTTATTTGCACTAAAAAGAGTCTGTCCTCTAGACAGTGTAGCTAGAGCTCCAATATGAATAGATAAACTAAAGTTATAATAATGGGCAGATGGTGTTGGATTTTTATTCATGCCATATCCTGTAATTTGAAAGTGGAAGAGAGACTCCTGAGAAAGTGTTATAGGTGAATGAGACCCTTAGAGCAGTTGGGAAACTCCTTCTCTCTCTTTTTCCTCATATTCTCAGATTGAGTTAATTTTTATATTAATGCTTTTCAGAGAATTCAGAATTGTGGCATGACCTCAAAATAAGCCCAGAGAGTCACTTATGGAGAACAGTGGAAATCTCAATATTCATTCAATTCACTCAAATCCTTTTCAAATTATGATACTGATAGATTCATAGGCAGACTGACTGGACTATGACTTAGGCAATATGGGACAGTAAGAGTTTTGCATACTTCTTCCTCTCATAGGGCAACTATTGTATTTAATGGTCTCCAGTCTGAGAAATGTTGCAATAGTGTGTAAAAAGAGAGATCCTGCTGCAGTCATACACTTTTTGCTAGCAGACATGGTTGCCAATAACTGAAAGCAATCGAGAGGTATCTTTTTGGAAGATAGGGTGATGGGAGATGGCAAAGAGAAAACCTGGTGCAAATTTTGCCAAAGTGTGCCTAGGATTGCCAGGTGTCCGGCTTTGAACCGGACAGTCCAGTATTTGAGCTTTCTGTTCGGGAAACAAATTGAGAAAATATAAATGTCTGGTATTTTCTAAATACGATATAATGTAGATTGTGATGTAATGTCAAGTGTGTCCAGTATTTTTGTTGAAACCATCTGGCAACCCTAAGTGTGCCTAGGGCTGTATTGTCTCCTGAGTATGCGTGGCCTATAAGTAAAGCATGTGCCATATAAAATCTTTTCATTTAACTTCTCTGGCACTTAGAGTTAAAAAGTGTTCCATGGGGCCATCATCCACCAATATACTTCAGAGACTCCTGTTTACAAAGCTGGGTGTTTCTGAACAGCAGGCCAGTGAAACAACTTTCTTAATAAACTGAGACTTAGTTACTAAGTTATTGGATTCCATAGTCCCTAATCTGAGAAATGTTGCAATACTGTTAAGAGAGACATCTTGCTGCAGTCACACACATTTTGTTATCATCATGGATGCCAACAACTGAACGCAATTAAAAAGGGTATCTTTTTGTAGGATGGGTAGGGTAAAGGGATATGGCAAAGAGAAAACATGGTACATATTTTGCCAAAGTGTCCCTGGGACTGTACTGTCTTCTGAGTACACATGGCATGTATAGTACAACATATGCCAAGTAAAATCCCCCATTTGATTGTTAATATAGAATTAACAAGTGTATCCAAGGCTATCACCTACCCATTCTAATTCAAAAATTCTCCATTACAAAACTAATGCTTCTGAGCAGCTGGGTGATGAAACAACCCTCAAATTAATTACTTTAAAATAAGAGTTGACAGTATAACAATCATCAAAGGCAAAAGGGACAGAAAAGCTCAATGATCACTTATAAAAAGCAATGTTTTGTCTCTGGAAAAAAAATAGAAATGTAGTTAAGGTTTTTATCTTGAACTTTTCAGATGAGTTTTTATAATTCAAAAAAGGAAAGCTTCCAGCCCCATTATATGCAGATGGATGGGGTGAAGTAGTGGAGATTTAGGAGATTTGACTCATATTTTAGATAAAAATCTCAATCTATAGAAACTGAATCCAGATACTAGACTCTTGTCCCTTGCACATAGCAAGCAGCCGTGGAGTTTCCAGAATATAAAACCAGCACTTGGCCGCTTTTCTCTCACAGACCAGCAATTATTTTAAATACATCAAATAATGTTTAAGTATTCAGAATATAACTAAGTACAACTTCAAACAAAACCCAACTTTATACCATAAAGCTAACTTTGGAGAAGAGTTTTATTGACTTTACATCCATCAAATGCAAAAATACTATGAAATTAATCAGTGAAAACAACTGAAGATCAAAAACTATAGAAGCTCAGAGAGCAAACATTAACTTTCCATTCATGAGAAATCTTGTCTCTAGCTTTATACATTGACCTGAGACTAACTTTCCGGCATTACAAATACTGACAAAAAGAGGCATTCTCAAATAGTAAATTCTAATTTGCTTTGTCTTTTGTTGCTGAACCCAATGAGCCATATTTGGAATTAACCCCATATACTCACAGGGGAAATGAGGGGAAATCCTTCCATTTTGCAAGCTTGCAACATTCAGCCAACTTCTTAGTGAATTTTCTAATTTCAATTTTCAAACATCCAGAATAACTGATTTTAAAAATTGTATCAGAAAACAAAAAAACACCACACAACAAAAGTGAGATCTTTGGACTCCTTGAAGTCCCTTTGCTGTGATGGATCTCCCTATTTAGCTTTCATACTTTTCTGTAATCGGTTCGGAGGTGAGAACCTTCCCTAGACTTATCTGAAGTTCCTGATTTAACAAATGTCTGTAGAAGGGAGATAGTCCCTGGGCTGTATCAGCTCAGTGTGACATCATAACCAAGTTTGCATAAATCTCATTTCAAGTAGTTGTGGTGCTGTAACAGGAAGTCTGTCACCAGCCTGATCTCCCATAGGCAGGTGCTTACTACATAACAAACAGCACAGAGCCCAAGCCATACCAGTAAACCAGTCCAGTCTGTCTTTATAACCAGTAAACATACTGATGCAGTGTTTTTTATTGACAGTAAGTATGAAGCACAGTGATGTTACAGCTGTCTGATTTCATGCAGTGACACAGGCCTGAATTAGTGTTGCTTGCTATGATGGTAATACAGTGACAGAAGCCTGCATTAATTGTAGTCATGTTGGAGTGATGCAGCAACATACCTCATTGTCAATGATGCCCCTCTCTGGGAGCAGTGCAGCCTCAATGATATGGTCTAAATTTGTTCAAAAAGCTGAAGAGAACCCCATGGACACTGCCTAATGACAACTTCTAATATGGAGTTAAGTGATTCACTGAAAATGGTTAAGATTCTTCATATGTTTCCCTACGGTCTCTGAACTTACTGGATTGTGGAAGGGGAAATCACATCGGCAGCAAGGCTCTCTCTTAGAAGAAGACATTTAATGGGAGTAGAATAGTGTCTCCATACCCAAAAGGGACACTAATGTTGCAGAAACGACTTGTGGCAGCATGTCTCAGAGCCCAAGCCAACTCACTCATGCTACAAGGCTAAAAATAGTTAATGTAGCTGCTGAGGCTCAGACTGGAGCTCAGGCTCTGAAACTCAGCGAGGAAGGTGTACCTATCCCCTTGAGTAATGGTAAGGAAGAATCTGAAGATTTAGATCCTGAAATTTCCCAGAGCAGACTCTGCTCTGGTCCTTTTTTCCATACACCATCTTTCCCTCTTTTTCCCTTGCTGTTGCTCTTTCTCCCTTGCATATGTGGATGCACTCTAAATATGTGTCCAATCATTGTGCCTGGCGCTGGGAGGAAAATGAGGTGGTATGGAGGGTGATTAAGGCCTTGAAGCCTGTGTAGATTTCATATTCTTTCTTGCTCTGCAAAATGCACCTTGCAATTGTTCTTATTTTGGAAAAGCGAAGTGTGGTTGTTTGGATTGTTCCCCTTCATTCTGTGCCCAGTGCCACAGGTTCTGCTTTTGGCAGGAGCCTGCTCACCGCTCACCTGGGACTATGGGCAAGGGGGAATTTCAGCTAAAGTGCAAACTTCCTCCCTCTTACACTGGTAAAACCAAAGGCCATTTGCAAGTTCCTCTCCTTCCCAGCCCTGAAGAACTCAACAAATATACCATATTAGCAATGGGTTGGGGCTGGGAACCTGATGGGAGGTTAACTCTTGAAATCCTAGATTGACTTTCTTCAATACTTATTGGTATCTAAGTGTCATATTCCTATTTTGCTGGCAGTTTTTCTTGAGGAATACAAGTTGCCAAAGGGCCACTTTCATTTCTGATAGGATAGCAAGCTTATGAGTAAAGAGAATACAGCAATGGGTAGACCTTGATAGAAAAAAAAAAAAAAAAAAAAAAAACTACAGAAATATATCAGAGGGGTAGCCGTGTTAGTCTGAATCTGCAAAAGCGGATTCAGATTCAGACTAATATGGCTACCCCTCTGATACTTGACACCATGCAAGGCACTGCATTTATCCATATAGAGTGGAAATCTATCGACCTCATGAAGAAACTTGCACAAGTACAAACAGATATCATCTTTCTCTCCAAAAGCAAACAGATGGACATCATACCAAATGGACTGAAGGTGAAAAATCCATTGCTATCTACATACTGCACAGGCTACAGTGAGAGATTATGCCATACACTATCTAAAAAAACTGAGGAACCACCTGATCAGCATCCTGTACAGCAGTGGTCCCCAACACGGGCTTGCAGCTATGGCAGGTGCTGGCTCTGGGCACGTGGCTATGGGGGGGGTATCAGCCCTGGGCGCGTGGCTCTGGAGGGCGCCGGATGCAGGCTTGCGGCGAATGGGCAGCCCCGCCCGTAGCCACGCAGCGCATGGGGTTGCTGGCCCCAGGCGCATGGCTCATGGGGGTGTAGCGTATGTGCGGCCCCACCACCGGGGGCGCTAGTGTCCCCGCCCTCTGGCGCCCGGCGGGCGAACGGCCCCGCCCCCTGGCACCCGGCAGCTCCAAAAGGTTGGGGACCACTGCTGTACAGCAAACAGGAAAACATCAAAAATGAGCTCTCCAATCTAGAGTCTTTCATAAAAAACCAACCTTCCCCACAAATGGACTTTACTAAAATAAGACAGGAGATCTACATTACACACTTCACTTCTCTACAGAGGAAAAAGGACTGTAAACTGTCTAAAATCCTAGGCCCACCACCACAATGAAGAGAGTACCATTGGTGGATTGGTTACTATCTTCTCAAAGTGGTCCCTGACCTGGGAATAAGTCAATGCCAGCCATTCCTGGAGGAGTCACATGTGGAGCCTGGCATGATGGACAACATACATGCATGCTACCACATGGCCTAGCAGATGTATGCACATTCTGACAGTTGTTAGGGGATACAGATAGTTCTGTGATGATGTTCATCAGGGTCTGAAACCTGTGCAGTTGCAGAAATGGCCTTGCACAGGTCGAGGTGAGCACCAGTACTCATAACTTCAAATACAAAAATGACATATGCATACCATTAACATAATCATATTCAGCAAAATCATAACTTTTTCATACACATCTACATGCCACATTTTGTACAAGATTGTTTGCAACTATAGGATAGTGATTGCAACAAAGAATATGGTCATATTTTAATAAAATAACATCACACCACCATAAAGCAGAGGAAGCATCTATGACCCGGGACAAACACTACATGGAAGAATGTGTCCTTCAGGTCACAGGGCTATCTCCTGAATCCAGGTAGGGGATACTGGAGGCCTGGGAGACCATGCAAAATTGTAGTTTGTGTAGGTACTTGTTTAGGTCTAAGGTAGGATGCAGACAACCTTTGGCATTTGGGATCAAAAAGCACTGGGAATAGAAACCCTTGTTCCAGTATGGAGATGAATTCTCCTTCATCATCTCCAAGTGCAGGAACCCCTGAACCTCCTGTATGAAGAGACTCTCATGAGAAGGGTCCCTGAACAGGGATGGGGCAGAGAGATGGGCAGGGAAAGGAAATAAATTGGAGGCTGTAACAATGTGTTACTGTACTGAGAATTCAGCTGTCCAAAATTATTGCTAATCATGCTGGGAGGAAATGGTAAAAGCAGTTGCCAAAAACTGGGAAAGTAGGATACATGGAATGTTCTGGTATGTCCTCAGTTATACCCACAAAATAACTTCTTAGCACCTTGTTTGGAGCAACTCAAGCCTGACTGGATGGAGTGGGAGGTGGGTGGCTCATGCACTTTCTTTAGCCCAGGGGCTTTTTGTGCAGTGGGTCCTGCTGCAGCTGGCTCCCTTGATGCTGCAATTTGAACTGCTTACATACCAGGCCTGGCAGGTAGAGCCCTAGGGTTTTTAGGGTATTATGGGAGTCTTTCAGCTCTCCATCTACTCTGCAAACAGGACATGGCCATTGAAGGGTAGGTCCTGAATTGCCTGCCGAGCCTTGGTGGATAATCCAGAAATGAGCCGCCACATGGAGATGGCAGAAGTCATGATGCAAGCGTTAGAGACTGCAATACCAGATGCCACTTGAAGCGCTGCTTTGGCAGTCAAGTATTGCCTGGAATCCTTTACAGGGACCTTCCAGAAGGGCATTCTTGAACTTGGTCATGGTCTGCCACATATTAAAATTGTAATGGCCCAGGAGAGACTGATGATTAGCCACCCTCAACTGTAGGCTAGATGAAGAATAATTTTTCCATCTGAACAAGTCTAGTCTCCTGCTGTTTTTATTTTTGGAGTGGCTCTGGGCTGCTCCAACATTTCCTGTGGTTAACTGCCTTGATCACCAGGGAATTCAGGACAAAATGGGAATAAAGGTATTCTTGGCCCTTGGTCAGAACAAAGTACTTAATGCTCTGCCCAATTGGATATAAGGGGCAGAGAGGAGGGGGTTTGCTTTAAGGCATTAGTTAACTTTGACACCTTTTTGTGAAAGGGAAGAGCCATCCTAGCAGGGGCTATGGAGGAAAGGACATCAAACAAGTAGTCCATTTGTTCTTCCAACTCCTCTGCCTGCAGGCTGAGGTTTAATGCAACCCTCTTCAGTCACTCCAGGTTCCCATAATTATGAGAAGGAGGAGGAGGCTGGTAATGCGGATTCCATGGGGCCCATTGATGGTACAGCAGGTTGATTCTCTTCATCCACATGGACTAGAGAGGGGTCTTTTCCCCTGAAGCCTCAAGCACTGGAGGGGATTGAGTTGTTGAGGCCACCAACTTCTCCAATGCTTCCGGCTCTGAGTGAGCAGGTTGGGAGGACTGAGTGAACTCCTGTGGGGATCAAGGTTACCTCAGGGCTTAGAGCCAGGGGGCAAATTTTGGTGCTAAAGACATAGATGCCACTGAAGGTCTGGGAGGCCACCCCACTAATACTGAGCCCTTTTCTGTGCCAGAGCCATTTCTGGAACTGCTGGTACCCAGCAACCAGGATCTACTGGAGTAGCAAGTTTGCATCTGGTGGTATCCATGGTTGTGTCTGGAGGAGGAATGTTTCGAGTGGCACGTGCACTTCTGTGGGGATCCGCAGTGCCTGGCAATGCTTGGATCCACAACGGAAGGTGATCTTAGCAAGGGTATTTTAAATAATCTGGAGGGTAGAAGACCAAAGAATATTTCCACACAACGTGCACACAACTCTAAGAAGGTACATGGCGTTTGTTGCTCCTTACACATAGTTTGTACTCTTATCTATTGAAAAGGTTACTTATGTTGTGCTTGCTCTTTATGTTGTGTTGAAGCATGCTAAGTCAGTCTTTGTTTTGTTTCATTTGGGAATAACTCCTAAACTGGAAGATAAACCTCTGGAAAAGTTTAATGAGACTTTCACATAATCAAATTACAGAAAA